CTAGGTGCCCTTTGAGAAAGTGGAATCTATTTGGAAGTTCGGATAGTATCAAAGAAAATTTTATGTGAGCGAATAACTCGCCGATCAACAGGATTGCAAGTGATATCGACTAACATAGAGTTATCACCGTCACCTCGGCGCTCGTTCCTGTCGTAAGAAACATTTGGACATTAAAATCAGAACTCTGAGAAATCGAATTTGTTGATACGATTATAACGAAACCCGGTGGTGAAAAATCTAGGATAAATCCGAGAATAAAGCTTAGATTGTTTAAAAATACAGTTCGGGGCAAGTTAACGCAAAAAATCCGATTTCGCGGACTTTCGGTCGTTGGAATCTCTGTTTGAATGAACGGGGTCATGAATGCTGGCCAAATTTTCCTACTCACCTAATAAATTCTACGCTTGTTTTTCTACGGTACTCCACTACTCCATACTACAACAGGAATCATATAGTGGTATAATAACAACGAGCAAGGTTGTTCCACAACTCAATGGAAACTCGAGATACTTCTCGTTCTACAGATAGATAAAATGCGATGCTACTGACTGGCTTCACTAACGTTCACGAAGCACATTTGACGACATAAAATGATCACACTGCACAATAACTATTTCTAGTAGTATCGTTTGAAATATCATTGCTTTACATGACCTGTCGAAATAGAAGTAGCAAGAAGTTGCTGCAATAGAGCATACATAAATAGGACCTTTCCTAGTGGTTTACCACCTCAAAACGCATGGCTGTTCCTCTATGGGGAAATAGGAAGTACAGCGGATGTTCGTACCCAAGTAGCTGATCAGGAAGTCCTATAAAGTGGTGAACTGCCATCCGATCCACAAAGGCAGGTAACTGCCTACAGGGATAATCAGGTACGGAATTCTGCGGGCTCCAAAAAAAAACAGGACTTGCACAACCAATCACGCACTAGTTCGATGAACATCGGACACTCACTTTTACCAATCTTCGTGGGTGACGAGTCATTCAGCTATCAGTCAGGTGTGTGCTCAAAAAGAAGACGCAGGATTTAATCCGGAGTTTTAAAAACGGAATCCACGAAGCATTCCCGACAACGATAAATATTGTTGACAAAACTTCTGCAAACAGTTCAGACGGTAGAAGTTCTTAGAAAACAAAACAATAGATCTGCCGATGAAACAGCCATAAAACGACACTTCTGGAACATGACAACAATTGTTTTCAGATTCAACTTGAATCATGCCCTCCCATCTTTACCCTGGCCCTATTGCTCGCGTTCCTGCTTTCCCTTTGTCAACATCATCGTTCCGTATCGCATTTCGAATTTCTTGCCGGCAAATATCACCATCGATCAATTTTGACGATAATCTAATATCAAAAGCAGAGTGTAAAGTGCACTAACACATGAAATGAAACTATGTGGGAATATTCTCGAATCAACTTCTCAAAGTTTAAGAGTAGTTACAATCTGATCTGCATTCGACACTTCTTCAACTCTAACGAGCGTAAGTCTGTTGAAACGACAGTACACTTTCCAAAAGCAACAACAATCATGATACTGTATGATAGTATAAAGGGCACGTGTGGCACAGTGGTCGAAGGCGCCTTGCGATACACACGTGAAACCGATCCCCGTACGTGACCCAACTAACCTTCCATGCATCCGAGGTCGGTAAATTTGTACCACACTTGCCTGGGAGGATAGCAGCACTGGCTCAATCTAAAGGCCAGGTATGCATCCGATGACCTCCAACGATGGTTAATAGAGTCGAATGCATCCCTAAGGGATTGATCAACGGCGACAGCTTTTTTATTTTTGATAGTATGATGACTGAAAACCGTGTATACGGTCACTTCAGAAGACTGTCCAATCATAGAGCTTAGAAGAAGGTATGGTAAGGCAAATTGAAAGCGGCAAAAGTGACCTCAAAATCCCCATGGGCTTCACATGCTGCTTTTGGTGTCGATATGGCTAGTAATACATTTGCTATTCTTAATGGACGACATAAAAAAGAACAAAACGCACATGACTATACTTACCAAAAAAATGTGATAGAGTAAAAATGTAATATAATACAACCACAACGATGGTGAGACATTCGCAAGACTTGGACCCCGGGCCAGATCGAATCACGATTATCCTTTCCGGGGGATTGTGCATTACACACTGCACCACTGAAGCCCTTGATCTGCGTTATTATATATTACGCAGTTATAGCATATTACTATATACTAGGTAGTTACTATAAATCACAGTACGCAGCAAATAAAAGGTTAACATTGCCATATAACTGCTTGTAAACACTCTCAACCTTATAGTACTGTAAACCAACTCTTGTTTAACTTCGGTATGAATGGCCAATGACTTCATTGATAGGCTAACACGAGCTCGTTACCAAATATTTATTCGGCTAACGTTTCTTTCGATGAATTCGTCTTCCTCACACCGAGGAGACGAACGACTGTGGACCATCGACTCTAATCATTGGCTCTGAAGAAGATGAAGACGTCGATATGTTAGCCGAATAAATATTTGGTAACAGCTTCGTATTCGCTTATCAATGAAATAAGGTACTCTCGATCTATTATCGTACCGACTTCCATTAAGACTTACACAAGAATTTCAGTAGTCGTCGTTGTGGTTAAGGTTTTAGTGCATTAGTACTCGTACAATGATGCTCCATTCCATCGGATTCGACCAAACGCGACTATGAAAACCCATCTATCTCAAGAACGAACGCATGAGAACACTCGACTCGGCTCAATTAGTAGCTCAGGAAGGTAACGGTGCCGGGACAGTTAGCCACAAACAAGATTTATAACGACCATGCCATGCATAAGCCAATAGATAAACCGAAATATTAACTCTCACCTTAACCCCCACAACGGCATCCATCGACGTCGTTCACTCTGCCCTTAATTTTATAAAATAAAAGCGCCAGAAATACCATTTACTCCAATGGAGTTCAGTGTAAAGTTCTCATTAACGCTAAGACTTCAATACTTTACACTATCCTAAGTCCGGAAGTGAGGCGACGAAAAAGAAGACCGCGAACGTGAAAAAACGTCTGGAATACCTTGGTGGCGATTCGATGAAGTTACTTAACACCACCGACAGAGAATCACAATTGCCTACTAGTTGACAGAAAATAGCCGCTACTTAGTAGTCAGCCCTTTTGCCGAACGGGAAAGTTCAGCGATACGGATGAGAATGTACGAAAAATTCAACACTATTCCGAAGTGTCGTTACTTTTTTTATTTACTGCTTGTTCTTTTTTTACTTCCTACTACAATATTTTTGTTTCAGTTTAAATGGTTTCGATGCCGATTTGTGCTCCCCAAATCAATCCCGTTCACGGGTGATTGCTGATAGCACCCATAGGTGAATAGCACGGCTAAGAGAAAGGCGAAATGAAGGACTCGCATGGTGTGGTGGTGAGCGCGTTAGTCCCCGGAAAGGGTAATGGTGTGTTTGATCCCCACAGTAGACAACATAGGTCCGGAGTTTTACAAATATATTAGCACCATTATGGGTACTATTCCACGATGTTCATAAGGTCATGGAAATTAAAACTCACAAGGTATCCGCCTTCCATAACCCGTAAGTACAACAAAGAAACAGACATATATGGGAAAGTTGAGTGAACAACGATGGTGAGATATTTGAAAAACTCCGGACAGCAGGTGTCTGCGGTGAGCAATGAACGCGCTATTATTCCCCTCTCGAGGGCTAACGCATTCACCACCACGCTATGCGGATTCTTCGTTTCACCTGTATCTCAGCTAGTTCTATCGATCAGTGCCATCAGCAATCACCTGTTAACGGGATTGATCTGGAGAGCCCACATCGGCATTGAACCCAGTTAAGCAGGGGCTGAAATCACAATATTTACTTTTTATTTTAAATTAAATTAGTAACTAATAAATTTTATTTTAGAAATAAAAAGTAAACATCGTATGAAAATCCCCCAAGAGATGGTTATTCTAGATATACTATGAAGTAAAATGTGTTCATTTATTACAGTTTTCGCTGGAATGTTGACGATAAAGGGGCAAAAAAGGAAAAGAAAAAATACGATTGATATAATCGCGATGATTTCAGATAAAAACAGGAAAACCGTTAGCAATGGTCACGGTTAACGATTTGCAGAGATTCACCCAGTAAACATTTCGAAATTCAAAACGTTTCTCAAAGTGTCTACGTCTCGTTCTACTCTCGTATTGACTTTGTTACTTACAGTATGCTTTATAACTTCTGTAACTACTTTAAGATATAGCTTTTCTAGAGTTCAAGCGCTCAAACATCAGGATAGTCTACATCAAGAATAACGAATCAATTAACTTCATCTTTGATAAGGATAAAAAGGATAAAGCTCTCGGCGCTGATCAATCCCTAAGGGATATGTCATGCACTGGACTTCATTAAGTATCGTTGGAGGTGATTGAATGCATATCTGGCCTTTAAAATGACTTTGCGGTGGTCTACCCATGTATCGAGTCTGTGCTGCAATCCTCCAAAAGAAGTCTGGTATCAATTTGCCGATCCCGGAGGGATGGAAAGCTTAACGGTCCATGGGGGCGGGAATCGATCCCAAGTGCATTGCAGGACGCCTCCGACCACTGCGCCACACGCACCCATCTTTGATACTGGTTTTCAAGTGAAGTATATTGTATATCAGAAACACTCTCCACATTATTGAGTCAGCGTTCTCATCTCTGTAAAACAGAAACACTGCAGATAATAGAGTTGGACAATAACCAGAAAAAATGAAGAATGGAATTGAATGCTTCATGATAGCGACAGAAAAAAGAAAAGGATGCCTGAGAGCGAAAATTCTCACAACGCAATGAAAACGAGACCTAGTGAAATCGAGTCAGAACTGATGTTAGCGACTATCAAACGCTATGGTCACTAGGTCGAAGACGCTTCGACTAGGCGATTTCAGATGACGACACTATGGAGCTATTCAATATGCAAAATGCTAAATGTAATTCAGATCTGTCCTAAAAGCCTCTACAATTCAATTGAAGTGAATCTGAAATGAATCAAGCACGTCGCTGAATCGGATTTGCTCACTGGAACGGGAGGACGGCGACGACGGCTGCTCGAACACGTCGCGAGCGGTCGGGTCTCCGTGTGTTCGCGTCGGCGAACGGCACGCACGAGACGTCGCGGCGCCTGTCAGTCGGTCGGTCCGCCTCCATCGACCAGTAGTCCTATCGGCTACCCCATCGTGGTCAGCGTTGTTGTCAGTGAAATCGTTTCGAATCAATAGTTTTTTCTTAAACCGACTGCCATTTAGCATCCACGTTAATGATCAGTAGGTTACTAGATTATTAGGCTAACACGGAGTTGATAAAAAAAAGTTTACTCGGCTAACATTTCAGACATCGTCACGCTTGAGGCAGCATTCGATCAACACCCGTTCGCTATGAACGGACCCCGCCAAATGAAGTGAACCATTGGGGCAGTAGGTGCTCCTTCCACTGCATTAGACTCGATGATGCGACAACGACCAGCTGCAGATCATCAGCGATTTTGATCACCGCGGCTCTGAAGAAAACCAAGACGTCGAGCCTCTAGCCGAATGAACTTGTTTTTTTAAATCAATCTCGCGTTAGCATAATGATCTAAGAAGAAATCGTTTCGGTTCTTATGTCAACGCTTTTCCGAAGACAAGCATCACCTAGTAGACAAACTTCGTCGCTGAAATCATCTACACCAATTGATTTGGGTATTTTGTGGACCAATTATAATGGCTCATTCTCATATCGAAGCCATACGGTGGACAGTCATGGGACTCGAGATGAAACAGTAATATTATTATTATATTAAGTAGTTCACTGAGCGGCAAAAGTACTTATGTGCTACTACAGGATGGAAAGATGGACTATAAAAACATGAAGTGTTAAATATTATTAAGATGGTATTATCGTATAGAATGGGACAAATAATGTTAACATATTGAATACTTAAAGAAATTAGAAAATATGAAGTAGTTCCGGAAGATTTTTTTTAACCAGAGGAGCTTTTGTGTGTTAGAGAAATTGCACTTTCAGTTCTGCATTGGAGAGGAAGAGATGATGAGTGAAAGGTAACCAATTTGAAGATACAAAGAAAATTTGAACACCGAGTCTAAATCGAGAACAAAGCGGTAGACCATTAGTTTGGTGCGATTCTAAATCGATAGTAGATCAATAACTTGATCTGACTACTTCATAACGGATATCACCTTCTATAGCAGAGTAATTTCTCTAACAGTAGGATTTAAACAACAATAAAGTATAATTGTAATTCAGTTTGAAACGGCAGTGATAAATTTCCAGTGCTGAGAATATTCAGTGGGAGAGTGGAAACTAAATAAAAAACGAAATAAAGTGGAAATATAGGGATTAAAAAGCCTTGTAAGTACACGAAAGGATAGCTGTCCATCACTGTGTGGTAGTCTTTCAAAATAATGAGAATTCATGATAAATTAAGAAACTGCTAGGAATATATATATATATATAACCTTTTGTTGCTTTGCATTTTGACAAGTCTTTCAATAGCTTACCAACCGCTATGGATAGAAGGCTCCGTGAGTCCAGGTTGCCTGGTCAAATCAGAAAACACGTGTGTGTCGTGGGATACCTCTAACCACTGCGCTAAACTCACGCTGTGTGATATATTCGACGAATTTAACACTTCGTTAAGATGCTACCAACTATGGTAGCGTTTTTTTCTGGTGCCTGCCGTTCTTACTAACCAAAAGATTTCTTCGGCACCAGAGACAAAAAGCGAGGCCAGAGTAATCTTTCTTAGAACACTAAGCTAAAATATTTGAAACTTCTTATCACTGCAGTCAAAGTTTAACTGCGTTGAATACCGATTTGTGCTCTCCAGATCAGTCTCATTGATGGGTGATTGCCGATGACATCATTAGGTTGAAAATTTACTGAGAGAAAGGCAAGGCAAAGGCCTCAGCGATGCAGTGAGTAACACGTGAGCGTGAGCACCGGAAAGGGCATCCGCAGGTTTGATCTGGCCTAGAGTTCAATTCTTGCAAATATCCCAGCATTGCAGTGGTTGTATTTTACTATTATTTTGAAATATTGCGACAAGAATAGTTCGTCGGGTAAAGAAGATGAACTCACTGACAGCAGCACCTTTTTAGTGTACACGAACCAATTCCCCAGTACCACACGGAATAATGAATACCATTTATCGATGAGATATGATACTTACTTTTTATGGAAGTAAATGTATGCTGTTTAAAAACCTCGCGATTGCTGAACAAGAAAACGACACATTCATATTCCAATGCCGAGGTTAAGAGAAAGTCGATCCTGGGAACTGATACTTACTTACTTAATACTTGAACGGCCCATCCTCACTGGTTACGCTGGCCCCAGTATAATCTCCATTCTTTGGAGATTTGCTGGTTAAGTCATTGTAGTTCCCTGGAATCCCGAAGTAAGCCTGGCGATAGTCTGCCCCAGGTCTTCACCACCAAAGGCAGTCGCAGCCCTTGTGGATCAGAGGGAGATTTGCCACAATGTGACTGGTTTGATACCAGGATGGTGGTGGATCTTGGTATTGGTTTATTCTTAGCTAGGCTTCCTGATGGAAATGCTGGACTCTTTCTCAGCTTGTATAACCCTGCTGTGCGGATGAATCCGTTCGCTGTACATCGCAACTCGGCACCCAGGAACACCTGCCAGCCACGATGAGGCGATAAACCATTGAGAGGCGATGAGATATGATGATTGGAAAATATAGGAATTCTCGATGGACACTAGACACCCTCATACTAAATGTTTCACGAGATTTTCGTTCTTTCAACATTTTATTTTAAAAGTCTACTTCATCTGAATTGGTCACGTTACAAGTACCATTTAACTCTTCCGGGACGACGATGGTTTTTGGACAACTAATGATTACAGGCTTTCCTCTACCGCACGAATCGCACAACTTCTTAAACACTATCATTACAATGTTAAATGTGTTCAAAATTAACGGTTGCAAGAAGTTGGAAACGAAATTTTGCCAACCGGCCACCATTTAACTTCGGCACTAATAATCCAAGATGGTGCTAGGAACGGAAATTAAGTCTTAGTTTTCTTTTTCTTGTGATTCTAGTAAACTTTGTTGGAATTAATAAAATTAAACTAATTAATAAAATCCATTACAAGCTGAGATATGTTGCTTTGAAGTTGAAAGCAGTCATTACTTCCGCTTTGCATGATTCTCATAGACGTCACTTCGTCGCGTGAGAGCCAATAACGCGCGCATGGCCCTGATTCAACCCCTCCCCGAACCAACCAAGTCTTCCATTACTTCGGGTCTGGAATTGAGTGTAAGATTTGTTCTCCTAAAAAGTCTCTTAGATCTACAAATGCTGGTATCGCTTCTATAGTAAAGACGTAGGAAGGATCTAGCAGAGTTATCCCACGACACCGGGAAGAATTTACTTGACAGGATTCAAGGCCATTTACAAAGAAAATCAAATGGTCAAGCAACAGCCGAATCCATAAGGTCCGTAAAGTTTCACGAATGACACCTGGATGCGACAAAACAAATCAAATGAAGAAAGTTCTAGGATCTATGTGGATATCAGACTATTCAGCAAAATGGAAAAGTTTTCGTTTAAACAGAAATGTTGCATAACTCCAATTATGCTAAGATATTTGCAAAACTCCACATCGCAGGTGTCCGCGGTGGGGAACGAACGCACTATTGTCCTTTCCGGGGAGTAACGCGTTCACCACCACACCATTGCCCATTTGGGATTCCTAGATCAATCACGCTGATGGGTGATTGCTTATGGCAGAGATAGAATTAGCTGAGAGACAAGCGAAACGGAGGATCCGCATGGTGTGGTGATGAACGAGTTACTCCCCGGAAAGGACAATAACGCGTTCGTTCCCCCACCGCAGACACCTGCGGTCCGGAGTTTTGCAATTATCTCAGCGTCGATGTTTTTCTTCAATAAGCACGACACGAGGTTGTTATTCTAGAATTTATTAGAATACAATAGCTGACGTTTCGGCGGTTTCGCCTTCTTCAGAGCCGTTTATTTGTTGTAAGTATTTCAGTTAGTTGGTGGATAGCAGTCGCACAGAGTAATACATGGGCGATCATCTCAGCATTATTGTAGTTGTATTTCGCATGATACCCTGCTAAAAAAGTTTAGGTACTAAATAAAATGGTTAAGAAATATCGTATTTCCATAATTTCAGAAAGAAAATTGATCATGTCAAGCACAATGTTATTTTTATAACGCTAAAGCAAGCTAGAAGTCGATTCAAAGCAATTTTATGGTCTAGGCACATTTTTAATTAATCGACGAAGACCGAAAGTGTCAGTGTCTCTGTGGACAATCTGAAACTAATTTCCGAATGAAAAATTCGAGCTCATCAAGAGACCCCACTTCCAATACGAAAAGCCTAAAAACGCTGCAAGATGTGTGATCATTGAAATTTTCGTAAAATCAAAAGTACTAAGAAATGGAAGCGAATTCCTCTGGAAATAAGAAGGGCTGCGAATGAGGATCGAATCAATTGCATGGGGCAAGTCGGGCGGTAAGTGAGTGACGTTAAAAGAAGTCGCTCGCAATTATTAAACGAAAATGAAGTCAGATAAAGAAGTCCGATGAAGAACTACTGAAGGAGCGATGGCATAACAGAAAGAGCAACATAGAGCAACAGATCCGTAGCCGAAGCTCCAGAAAAGGAATCTATTATAAAAACGAACCATAAATTCCAGGAGCCACAAGTCCTCCTGATTTGAACTAATTTCTCACTCAGAGGTATTAACGTTCTGAAATCGCATTGGAATTTTTCCTAAAAGCACTCATGCGAATAGAGTCATAGAAGCAATCGTTGTCGAATTCAAATCCATTTCTAAATATAGATAGAAGAGCTAGTTGGATGCAGTGCCGATTCATACTACTCCATTCTGACAAACAAGCGCTACGGTGCCCGCTACCTGTTTATCTGTTCTCTACGAACGAAGCCTTCACGCCTGTCGAAAGAGTTGAGTAGTTCGTTCGTAATGTGGATGGGAAAAAATTCATAAAAAAAAACTTAAATAATGTCTCCTAGATTAAAGATCCATAGTGGTAAGGGGTGGGGACCAGCTGTGCACACAGGATGCTTGGTTCCGTCTGACGAACGAGCAAAGCCTAACCTCTATAAGTTCAGAGTAGGAAAAATGGCACTAGAGTTGCCTGAAAGGATGAAAAATACTGAGTTCATACTTCGATAGGCTTTTGCTCAGCATTTAATCACCTTTACGAAATTTAATGGGGTTGAAGGCATAGTGCGT